AGAAGACTGACTGGCCGGCAGCTGGCTGGCCAGTTGATTGACTGTCTCTATCTCTATCTGTCTGTATTTATCTCCGTCTCTATATCTGTCGCTATCTCACAGGAACAAATACGTAAATACAATTCTACATAGTGTAAATTACCTAGGATAACCTAAAAAATCCAGACAAAGTGCTATACTGTGCTTGTAGATAGTGATCATGTGTAATACCAGATGGTTCATGAGCAGCTCTCTGAGACAGACAGATAGATAGACAGGCAGACAGATAGACAGACATGTTTGTGTGTAAGAGTGAAAACAAAGTGAAGGCTCATCAAATGTCACCACTGTTATTAGCGGAGAGATATGACTGAAGCAGGTAAAAATGTTCACCTGTCACTGTGTCTCTGTCTATTTGAGCACTATTTCAGTACCTAACATTAGTATCAGAACAAAGATTAACTATGAAATCACAAGAACTACTACAAATTGTCATTATCAGGACAAAAATTATACAAATTAAAAAAAAAAAAAATGAGATAAAAAGGTATATCAGCAACACATCTGCAAGTGGCAGCACTTCGTGTTGCCTTCAGATGAGTGACAAGTGCCAACTTTGTGGCCTTATATCTCTGTAAGTAGTGACTCTTGAATTTTTTTTTTTACATTACTTTATGTAAAAAAAAAAGTCCTCTTCATTTAACAAACAAAAAAAAAATTTTTTTATTTTTCAAAATATTTGGAGCGCTGGGCGAGAGAATGTAGATCTACGTTTGGACAGCTAAGGGGTTAAATAAGGTTGGTCGTCCTTTCTTGAATTGTAAAAAGTATTTCTAGCAATTAGACAAGTTAAAATCTTAAAGCTTGGGTAGAATATAAGCTGTGTTCGAGAGGTCCTTGTAGCTTGTTTGATAGTGTCCTCAGCTTACACACTAAGGCACGGGTGAAACATTACCTGAAATGCTCTGCATAACCAGGGGCTTTATATATACAGTAGTATGAAAATATCAGATTGGTCATGGTCTGGGTATCAGCGGTGTTAACTCCCGGAACACCCTTCAGATAGGTCATTAATAGTTTTGTCATGAATTTGAAGAGATATAGATTATCATCATGGTTGGCACACATGGGTGAGGTGAGCCAACCTGCAATGTGGTATCGTGCCTCTTGGGCAATGTCCGAGTCAACGGGAGTGTGGGGGGAGAGGAGGAGGAGGGGGCTTAGCAGCCAATCAGCAATGGGGGGCTGAATTTCTCTGTGGCAGAATCTGCAGAAATTGTACTACAGTTTATTCTTCCCTCTTCAGTCTGAAGATACCACGTATGTTTCCCATACCTACTCTGGATTATTTACCCACCATAATTGCATTTGTGTTTAATTACACCATCTTTTTCATTACTAAGTCATCATGGCCCCTAAAGTCCTCAGTAAACAGGCAATTTTTTGAAGACCAAGAAAGAAATTGTAAAAAGACATGATGCAGGAGATAGAATTAGTTCAGTGATGCACGAGTATGGCTTTCCACAATCAACCATTTCGACTATTATCAAGCAAAAATAAATACTAAAGAATATTAATGGCTGATGAATCTATGCTAGTGAAAAATGGCAGAGAAATAACCATAGATATGGATAGAATTGTGACTGTGGATAAGAGAGAAGCAAATGAAGGGAGATACAGTGTCTGCAAGTTATGTAGAATATGGTGAATATACATTTAGTAAATTTAAATTCAAAGACCTTAAAAAACCTTTAACAGTTAGAGCAATCTATAGAGTACCTCACTCCAATATTTACTCATTTAGTGAAAAACTAAGAAACATGATAACTGACACAGAGATGAATAAACACCACCTGATTCTTACAGGGGACTTCAACATAAACCTCACCCATGACCATGACCCTCAAGTAACTGAATTCACAAACACTATGAACAGCTGCTTACTTCTGCCAACATGATAGAATTCAAGAAGAAACTTGTAGTAAAGTACCAAAGTGGAGGAGGAAAAGAGAGGGAAGAATGTGCCTTCTTCAATGATTCTATGACATATACAATACTAAAGCAGAAGGAGTCGATAAAGGCTATAGCGCCAGCCAGTGATAAAGCGTAGCAAGTAAGTTAAGAGAATATGCGATAGAAAAATGACGACACGAAACTTAACTCCTCCATTGTTGTTTGAGGTATATAGGGCACTGACAATATACGCCGCCCTCTGCCAGTATCTCCTCCAAGATAAGTGTAAATATTTCTTATTCATAAATTACGTACATTGCTTGTGTGAATAGTGGTAGTGGCCTCTGCTGTTGCCACCCTACCACTAATATATGTATGGCTTATGCTCTCAGTGGCCTTTATAACCCCAACAACAACACACCACCATTACTCGAGACATACATAATGACATTTCTTATTCATGCTAGAGTATATATCATGTTTCTATGTTATTAATAATGTTTATTATGTCATATGAGATGAATTGTGATAGATAAATAAGCCATTTTTTTGAGCTGATATTAGCTCGTCATATTTAAGTATTTTGTCCTGTCTCCAAACACTCTCCCTCTCCCAACAAGAGTCTTCAATAAAGGTATGTAACAGTGATTTAAATGTTCATTTATCCATTTTGTTAGTGCTTTATATTTATTTCTCATTGTTCTGTAAATCTATATTTAATCTCTAAAAAATGTATTTTTTTTTGTAATACTTTTGGGTGTCTGAAACAGATTAATTCGATTTGCACTATTTCTTATGGGGAAAATGGTTTCGCCATTTGTAAATTTCGCCTTTTGTCAAGACTCTCTGGAATGGATTATGTAATTGTGAAATTCAAGGGTCCACTGTACCAGAAATGTTATAATAATGTAAAGGTGATATTGAAACAATGTCAAAGATGGTTGACACAAACCCACTACCATTATAGTATGCTCCTCACTTAGCGACAAATTCATTTACCGACACGGTCTTAGGAACAACTCCGTCGTTAAGTGTGGAGCGGCTATACTGCTAATACTAGTACAGGTTGACCATCACTAATTCAGCATCATCGAAACCTGCAGCGTGCCAGATTTAGTGATTTTGCTGGATTACAGAGTGGTTAGGTTAGAATACACTTACATCAATGGCGATATCTGCACATTGGCGATATCACCCACTATATGCCCACCCAATTTTTTGGCCCATTCCATTGTTCCAGTCTACCAAACTCAAAACTATTTTGCTAGTATTCCTTCTATCCTGTAGAAGGAAACGCCCATTTACTTACTTCAACTACCCAATAAAGTGGTCAGAAATCAGTAATTTGTTCCATTTCACACAAGATTCAAGAGATGCCAGTTTCAAAATAGGGTCCAGAATAAACAATGTAGACATTCCTGGCACTAAAATAATGTTTTCTCGGTTCATTAGTCACGGCTCCAGGCCCCTCTTATATTATGCTTGCTTTCCATTTTGAATTTTTATTCACACAAAAAATGGAAGATTTACTGTTATGCAGACTACTGCATTATTGTAATAATTGTATAAATAATGTCAACCCATTCATGACTGCGTATTAGACTGGCCAGTTGGACACGTATTGGATGGTGACATCATTTGTTTACTCTTGAACATCAGCAAAAATCGAATATTTCCGCTATTTTGAGCTCATTTTCAAGGTACAGTGAAACCAATCAAAATCATATTTATTTCTGTATTATATCTTCCATCCTATCAAATGAGACAAAAAAAAAAAAAAAAAAAAAGAGAATACAACCATAAAAACCATACAAAAATACACCACAAAGTCACAGTTTTACACCAAATACACAGTCTCAGTTTTTTTTTCATTATGCATGCTGCAGGTTTTTTTTTATACAGTGCACACTTACCACACAGACCTATTCTCTCACATGTATGCCCAAATTTACTGGTCACAGACTATCTGAGTGAGCTGATTTCATGGCAACCAACAGTGGCTTCAAGGCCACCATATCTTTTATGGACACTGTATGGTATATGTGCTTTACACAATGAGAAGCATTTCTTTTATTCATTCGAACCACGGCTAGGGCTAAAAGTGAGCAGGTTATAACAATAAATGGCGAAAAGGAAATTGGAATGACTTATGCAGCGAGTAGCACCACCAAACAGTGAAATTATGCTAGCCTAAATTCATGCCATATTACTGATGGAACCGGATAAATGATTGCCAGATTAGTGATGGCCGACCTGTACTAGCTTTAAGGCTGTGCAAAATACTATGCATACTTATACCTGGGGAATCTTATCTACCTATCTTTGCGTCACCAACCCTGACTAGAAATGGCCAGTGTTAAAAATACCCTTTAGGTGAGAAATGGCCAATATGTGGTCCTCTGCCACACATGCTAGATCAAATATAATAGCAGAATCACAATCTTAACTAATTAATTCTGTTCAGAGAAACCTTTTTAATACTGAAAGGATAAAAAAATGAGTACTAATGTAAAAACTTATTTTTAATTTTTCATACTAATTAGATACAGGGTACTGGCAAAATAAATTTCATCCTTTGTCTGTTCAAAATTAAAAAATAAATATCTTTCCTAAAGTTTATGAAGCCTTAAGATTAAAGTATAAATTCTACAATATAGAAGTTTTCTACACTTAATCAAATTAATTACTATCAAGGTACAATTTTTATCAATAACTTTACAATATATCAATATTAGTTTCATAAAGATAATACACCAAAAATGCTATAAAACTTTATTAGAACAATATTCACTCTTTTAGAGAATACCTTTTACATTTTGATGTAAGAGTCAATCAGTACTACTGACATCTATAAGAATACATTTTGAAGAATGAAAAACATCTTTCTGTAAATGGTTCAATGAACTGTTTGTAATTTGAGCCAATTAATTTTACCTCCAAAAAAACAACTCTGGATTTTGTTACCCATTTTAGCACAGTCTAGCTTCCTTTCCTGTTTCATTCACTAAACTGATTCCTAAATTCTAGACCATTACATGGTGTCTCAGCAGCTTAAACACCATTCACAGCAGTTTACCTGTGGAGGCAGCAGTGTTTGTGGTTTACCAAAGCTTTTTTTTTTTTCAACACTCCAGCTGTTTCCCACCAAGGTACGATGATCCAACAAATAGAACACTTACATGGTCACTCGTTCAATCACTCTCTTAACCAAAGGACATGAGCATCCAGTTCTGATGACCTGCCAAACTGCAACATCCCCCCCTCCCTTAGTACTCAAGTCTGACTAATTTCCTTGAATCCCTTCATAAATGCTGCCTTGTTCATACTCTAACTGCATGTCAAATAAAAACCATTTGCCTCAAATCACTGCTGCACGTCCTGGCGCTCAAAACCTTAAATCCCTTCCCTCCAACTTCTCTTAGGACAACCCCTACCCCATCTTCCCTCCACCCCAGATTTATACGCCCTCCTAATCATCCTAATTTTCTTCATCCTTTCTAAATATCCAAACCACCTCAAGAACCCTTCTTCAGCCCTCTCAATAATACTTTTGCTGACTTCATACCCCCTCCTAATTTCCAAACTCTGAATTCTCTGCATAATATTTATAATGAACAGTGCCAAAAAATACAGAAATATTTTTATCATTCTTCACAATGTGGTATAAGTACTCTGTGTGTTGTATTGGTTCTGATAAACCACTGGTAATCGCACCAAAAGTACCTAAAACCGAAGGAGGTAGTGGTAATGGGAAAGCAGGCATTTCATGGTACTATATAACCTATCTAGGATAACCCTATTGCTTTTGGGGAATAATAAAAACTGTTGATAAGAATCTGATCAGCTGTCTAGGATAAACCTATTTCTTTTGAGGCATTATAAAAATAACTTGAGAATAATTTGATAAGCTAGGATATAAATGCAGATAATCTCATTTACAAATCCTGAGAAGATGAGAATATTTCCTCTGCAAGACAGAAAAATCATGAACACTATATTTCTGCCTAATAATACCAAACTTCATACACTTGTTTTGACTTGTTTTGGCGTAATATTACCCTCAGTTAACTTATTGTTGATCATATTAGAACGACAAATGCATTTCAAGGTCATGAGTCAACTCGGTGTTTTTGGTTGAAGTGATATAAGGAGACAACCACAGGATCAGTGTAAACTTTCCATAACCTGACTAACACTTAGCCACACAGGAAAGATGGGTAAAACCCATTAAAGTTTCTTAAACAATGATGCTTTGTAAACCACGTAAATGAACAGTCCTAATGTCCAATTTATCATCCAGTGGAACTGCATTAACCTATGTAGGCTTTGATGAGCACAGTAATATACAAACAGTACCAGCACTTTATGAATCTGGGTTAACTTGCTACATTATTATTTGTGATGCTCTCCCATGAACATAATATCATTGACTGCAGGAACAAAATTTGCATACAATAATGTTGAAAGTGGTGTCAACTGTGAGTTACATCACTTCAATATTACTCTCCATAAGTACATGTGATGCTAATATTGATTTACTTGCTTTCCAACTTGGACATTAGCCATGCACTGGCATACACACCATCAGTAATGAAGAGTATTGTTTAATCTCAGGGATTGTTTTGACAACTGTCAGTTATGATGACATCTGAAATTTGCATATAAATCTTAATTACCCAAGACCGCTTAAATGCAAGTTAATTCTCTGGCCTCTTTGTACAGTTTCACTATCTTATAACTTGACAAGTTAGTGAGCAGGAGATGCCATTGTTCAAAGGAAGTCTTACCTAGTAACTCATCATCCCTAAACACTAAAGTACAGAAACAAATAATGACTCCTCCTTTCAAGTCATCTGTTTTGCCCTCATTTTCCTCTCTTTAAAAGTTCCTCTTAAGACCAGACTTACATAACAAGGTTTATGTACTAAACAAGAGGTATGTCCATCACCTTCCTCTAGTGTAGAGGAACAATGGCTTATTACCTGATTAAATAGTCATGTTGACAGAGGAACATCCAAACAGGACAAACGACTTAATATTTAACTGGATTGTGTCTGGCATGAAAGGGGTTTCAGACTAGTGGGACAGTCCTGATTCAGCACAGGAAACCTAAAACAGTGAAAGAAGTTCAAAGTTGATAGGCAGTAATTCCTAGCAGTCCACCAGAATTAATACAGTGGACCCTCGGTTATCGGCCATTCCGGATATCGGCCAATTCGGTTTTTGCCTGCTTTTTTGGCAGAAATTCTATCCAGGTTTTCAGCTGTTATTTCTGAGATCAGCCACAGTGGATGCATAATAAATCACTCTTGAGCACATTAAATGTCTTATTTTAGGTTAATATAGACATTTTCATTACTCCATCTATGATATTTTCTTCAAAATTATATAAGAAACATGTTTCGTAGTAAGTATATAAAAACATGCAATGTTTATACATGATGTGTGTTTAATAATGATCACTCATGGGAACATTGTCTTATTTTAGATTAATATAGACATTTTCATTAATCTAGCTATGATATTTTCTTCAAAATTATATAAGAAACACATCACATACCATATAAACATGCAATGTTTATATGCTATCGAGTGGAGAGTAAACTTTACGTTTTCACTGATTCAGCATTAAAGAAAACTGTGAATCTGGCGTCTCACCCAGTAACCACCCTTCATGTGTGTTTGTTTACAATTCTCGGCATGAATTACTCATTACTTCTCCCTTTGTTTATGAATGAATCTAAAGGTAGCTGTTAGAAACAATTAAGCTCAGTGAACATGGTAATAATATGGGTGTGTAGTGTAATAATATGGCTGTGTAGTGTAGCCCAGGGGTTACAAAGACGGGAGAGGGAGTTGAGGATTCCCAACTCCCTCTCCCCTCCTGAATTCTTCAATATGCCAACAAGAGTCTTCAATAATGGTATGTAATGTTCATTTATCATTAAAATTTGTGCTTTATATTTATTTCTCATTTTTGTTTTGTATGTAAAACTATAGTTAATCTTTAAAAAATGTATTTTTTGTTAATATTTTTTGGGTGTCTGAAATGGATTAACTGGATTTACATTCATTCTTATGGGAAATATTTCAGTTTTCAGCCTTTCCGGATTTAGGCCGACCTTCTGGAACGGATTATGGCTAATAACCGAGGATCCACTATATACTGTACATCAAATGAAATTATATTCAAACAAAAAATAATTGTCTTACATCAGGAAAATAAAAGTTTTCAATATACACTGTAAATCCCATAGAAATTCAAGATATGTTTTGAAGGATTACTTTCATATTATTACGAAATACACTAAAATCATCATTATAAAAAATAAATATCTTCAAGTTGTTAACTCTAGAAAAAATATTAACATGACTGTAACATTATGCAAAAATACTGATCAAATTATACACGCTTGATGCAAAAGGGCCCAATACTACTCATGTAATCTGAGTTGCATTCCTTAACCCTGTCATTATCCTGACCACTAATGTGAGAATTGCTCTCAAGAATCCAAGAATTTAAAAAAAAAAAATTATGAATTCACAGAGAATCTTTTTCCAAAAGTAATTATTATTATTATAATCAAAAAGAAGCGCTAAGCCACAAGGACTATACAGCTTCCACAAGTAATGAAACCAAAAGTATGAAATTTGATGGAAAATTGGCAAACTTAAGCTTTTGTAAATTTTACTGTGTCAGTGATATTTATGCATTGGCAATTTTGCCCACTTCAAGTCCTCTTTTAGGCCAATTACACTGTTCCACTCCACCAAATTCTTAGCTATTTTGCTAGTATGTCTTCCATTTTATCGACTGAGCACAAGAAATTCCCAAATTAACTATTCTGACTACCAAATAAGGGTGATTAGATATTGGTAATCTGACCAATTTCAAACAAATTTCAAAATATTCCAGTTTCAAAATTGGGTAAAGAATAAACAATGCAGGCATTCCTGGCATTAAAATAGCATTTCCTTTGTTCATTACTTGTGTTCCCAGGCTTTACACACAAATTTAATTTTGAATTTTTATTCACACAAAAAACAAATTTACTGCTATGAAATATTGTAATAATTGTACAAATAATATCAGCACATTTGTGAATGCATATTAGACCCACCAGTTGGACGTGAATGGCATGAGTGACGTAATTTGTTTACTCTTGAATATCTGAAAAATTGAACATTTCCGCCACTCTGTGCTCCATTTCAAGCTATCTTCAGCCCTGAAACCATTCAAAATCATCTCTATTTCTGTAATGTATCTTCCATTCTATCAAATGAGACCAAGAAACTGAAAAAAAACATAAAAACCATAAGAAAATACACCGCAAAGTCGCTGTTTTAGACTAAAAACACAGTCAAGAGTTTTTTTTCTCATTATGCAATGCGTGCTGCAGGATTCTTTTTATATGGTGCACACTTACTGCATAGACCCATTCTCTCATATCTAGGCCCAAATTTACAGCTCACAGTTTATCTGAGTAAGCTGAGCTAATGGCGAAGCACTAAGGCACCGATAGTGACCTCAAACCCGTAGTACTATGGCACGCACAGCAAAGGGGTTAAAGAACCTTTGCAGAATGCAATTTCAAATAAAGACAGAATGAAATACCCAACTCAAGTCACATACAAAGATAACAATTAATAAGCAACCATCCATAATCAAGCAGCTTTGGTAGATACCTTCTTCAGGACCTGAATCCTTGAAGCAATCAAGAAAAGGTTAGCTGGATAATTTAGGTAAAATGTAATGAGGCATTAACACGCGATTTTTCAATCAGTGGCACTGGCGAACAGAAAATATGGGAACTGAGGGAGCAAGGAGGCACTCAAGCAGAGTTGTTGGAAAGTACAAGAAGGGACATAAAAATGTAAGAGAATAGTTCAAAGGCTGGATAAATGATGACTTACAGCTCGCAAGAACAGAAATTACTAACCTCATTAACTGCATTATAACTGAATGATAATTATGCTTACACAGCTTCAGAAGCAATGGTAAAACTGAGGTAAATGACAGAAACAGGTGAGCAGGGGTGGGAATGGCATGGGATTAAAGAGTAACATACAGTACTACAAAAACTGAAACATATATAAAAAAAAAAAAACAGGAAAATAAAGTCATGTGATAAAACACTGCAGACAACACCACTACCATAGCTCTGTTAATGCAACTGTGACAGTTAATCACAAATAGGTGATCATGAGTAAGGTTCATTTAGCAAATAATGCAATAAAACTCCTCCACTCTAAACATGCTGTATTTAAATTGGTATATTTTGGTTATCGATGTTGTTTACGGCATGTCCATTCCAAAAAAGTGCTCACCATAATGACAATTCATTTAAACTAATTTGCTTAGAGAACACTGACACAGGAAAATTTTCACTTAACCACCTATGCCAGGTTTATCAACCTTCTATTATGGCCCTCATTATCAAATACCAAAATAATGAAATATGACCCAACCACACAATGACAATGACTAAATAAAAAAAAAAAAAATTATTCAAAAGCAACTAAGAAAGCCTAATAAATAAATTTTCATATAATGGAGAGGTTGAAGTACTGAAAAGATAGAGAGGATATTTTGACAAGTTGTTGAATGTTTCTGTTAAAGGGGAGGCAGGGATTTCATGCAGGTAGGAGGAGAGGAAAGGATGGATAGTATCGTGCATGAGGCAGTGGGTAGATTGAAAGGGGGTAAAGCAACTGGAATAGATGGGTTAAGACAGAAATACTAAGAGTAGGTGAGGATATAGCATTGGAGTGCTTGGAGTTAGTTCAGTATATGCTTAAAAGAAGGGAAGGTACCAAAGGTTTAGCAGAAAGCATACATAGTTCCCTGTACAAGGAAAAAGGGGATAGGATAGAATACAAAAATTACAGATAGGATAAGTCTGCAGGTACACTATATTACTGAAATTTATTACTGAAAGGGTCAGTGGTAAGACTGACAGTAGGACTGCACAAGAACAGGGAGGATTTAGAAGGGAAGATGAGTAGACCAAGTTTTTACAATGAAGCATACAAGTGAGCAGGACTTATAGATAAGGTTAAGGAGCTGTTTTGTTACATTTATGGATTCAGGTAGACTGGAGAAACCATGTGGGAGATGTTGCAAGTGTATCAAATAAGTGGTAGGTTATTCTGGCATGTGAGTGAATGTTGGTGAATGTATTTTCTACTATGTGTCATCCTGCTCTGGCAGGAGGCAGCCGCTTTGGTAAAAACTATGAATATAATTCTAAAAGGGAATAAAGAATTAAAAAGGAATATTTTGTAACCCAATTCAAATTTACAAGAAGCCAAAGCAATAAATTTAGAAGAGCTGCTGAAAGAATATCAGAAAGCTTACCATAAACAGTTATAAAACAATGAAATGGGTTACAAGAGTAGTAAGTGCTATGCCCACTGGATATTTTAAAAAAGTTATGATAAGCTTAAATACTGAAGACTAGCTACTATATAACTACAAATAAGTAATTACTTCAGTTCTCCCAGTCAATGACAGGCCAGCTTTTCTTCACCCTCTCTACACTTGCTAGAGACAATTACAGCTAGCCACTGTTTGGTTATATACTGTTAGTCAGATGTACTTAGGAAGGAGCTATTTTATTGTGAATAAAATTGATTATTGTAATAAGCATCATACATAACAATGTTGAGTTAGCATATGCCTTTTCAATGTCTTGACATTTATTGCTCGGTATGGGCAAACTTTACACGAATAGGGTTTTTCCCCTGTGTGGGTTCGAATGTGTGATATCATATTATTGTTTGTAGTAGCTCGATAATGACAATGGGGACAAGCAAATGGTTTTTCTCCAGTATGAAGACGAATGTGATTTTTAAGATTTGATGACCTTGTGGAGGAGTAAGAACAGTACGAACATCGGTGTGTCTTGTTTGTGGCACACACAACTTCTTTGTGTCTCGAGGCCCCAGCACGTGATGCACTCCTTTGTTCGTTCCTCTTCAGCATTATCTGTAGAGGACATCCATTTTACTTTTGGCTGTCAATTATCCAATCATTATTTACTTCACAGCTTATTTGATTTATTTTACTTTATACACATAAACACATACATTATTTTTTTTTATTTTATTAACACATCAGCAGTCTCCCACCAAGGCAGGGCGGTCCAAAAAAAAAGAAAAAACTTTCATCATCATTCACTCCATCACTGTCTTACCAGAGATGCACTTACATTACAGATATAAAACTGCAACATTAACACCCCTCCTTTAGAGGGGTGTTAATATATACATGCATGCATGCATGCATATATACATATATATATACACATATATACATACATACATACATACACACACACAAACACAGATGAACCTTGGTTTTCGTCATTAATTCGTTCCAGAAAGTCTGATGAAAACTAAACTCGATGAAAACTGAAGCAATACAGCTAAGTAGAGTTCTGGGACAAGTTAAACATAACAGTGAACAAAGTTCTGACGAGAGTGAAAGTGAAAGCACACACTAACAATGATAAGAAATAATGTAAATCCAATTAATCCGTTCCAGACACCCAAAAGCATTAGCAAAAAATATATTTTTAAGAGAAAAACTATAGTTTTACATACAGAAAACAATGAAAATAAATATAAAGGATTAATGAAATGCATAAATGAACATTTAACATCACTTTTACCTTTATTGAAGACTCTTATTGGCGTATGGAAGACGGCGAGGAGGGGAGAGGGAGGAGAGGTTATCTCTTCAACTATCACTACCACCCTCTACCACAATCACTACCACCCTCTACCATCACAACCACTACTACCCTCTACCACAATCACAACCACTACTACCCTCTACCAACACCACAACCACTACAACCATCACTATTACCCTCTACCACAATCACTACCACCCTCTACCACCATCACTACCACCCTCTACCACAATCACTACCACCCTCTACCACCATCACAACCACTACCACCCTCACCACCATCACTACCACCCTCTACCACCATCACAACCACTACCACCCTCTACCGACAAGAAACAAAGCCAGACTGACTCAAAAAGTGCGGGATGGTTTGTGTGGGTGCAGTTGGACACGTCTGGTGTGGCAGACCACTGTCAACTCAACAAAACCTGGGACAAAACTTTGACAAAAAAAGTCGTCGAAAACCGAATTCAACGAAAATCAGGGAAAACGAAAACCGAGATTCCACTCACTCACTCACTCACTCTAACACACACACACACACACACAATCTTCAACACATCCCTTGAAACTGGGCAACTACCTGAGGTATGGAAGACGACAAATGTAGTTCCCATTTTTAAAAAAGGTGACCTGTGTCTCTGACATGTATACTACGCAAAGTTATGGAGAAGATTATCAGGAGGAGAGTGGTGGAGCACCTGGAACGGAACAAGAGTATAAACGCCAACCAGCACGGATTCATGGAAGGCAAATCCTGTGTCACAAACCTTCTGGAGTTTTATGATAAAGTACCAGAAGACACAAGAGAGAGGGGTGGGTTGATTGCATCTTCTTGGACTGCAAGAAGGTCTTTGACACAGTTCCTCACGAGAGATTAGTGCAGAAGCTAGAGGATCAGGCGCATATAACAGGAAGGGCACTGCAATGGATCAGAGAATACCTGACAGGGAGGCAACAACAAGTCATGGTACGTGATGAGGTATCACAGTGGGCACCTGTGATGAGTGGGGTCCCACATAGGTCAGTCCTAGGACCAGTGCTATTTTTGCTATATGAGAATGACATGATGAAAGGGTTAGACTCACAAGTGTCCCTGTTTGCAGATGATGTGAAGTTAATGAGGAGAATTAAATCAGATGAGGATCAAGCAGGACTTCAAAGAGACCTGGACAGACTGGACACCTGGTCCAGCAACTGGCTTCTCGAATTTAACCCTGCCAAATGCAAAGCCATGAAGATCGGGGAAGGGCACAGAAGACCACAGATGGAGTATAGGCTAGGTGACCAAAGACTGCAAACCTCACTCAAGGAGAAAGATCTTCGGGTGAGTATAACACCGAGCACGTTTCCCGAAGCACACATAAACTGCTGCAGCATATGGGTACCTGGCAAACCTGTGAACAGCGTTCCAATACCATAGTAAGGAATCGTTCAAGACACTGTACACCATGTATGTCAGGTCCATACTGGAGCATGCAGCACCTGTTTGGAACCTGCACTTGATCAGGCACGTCAAGAAATTAGAGAAAGTGCAAAGGTTTGTCACAAGGTTAGTTCCAGAGCTAAGGGGAATGTCCTATGAAGAAAGGTTAACCCTTAACCCTTAAACGTTCCAAAGAGATTGACGTTCAAATTCGTAGTGCTACAAAAGTAGATCTACTTTTTTTTACATATTTTCAAATATAACAAAAAATAAAAGTAGATGAAAGTTTTTTTTACACGTTTTCAAACGTAAAGCAAAAAAGAAGATCTACATTTTTTTACATACTTTTAGATGTTGAAAAAACGTATATATACGTTTGGACCATTTATGGGTTAAATGGTCCAAACATATATATACATGTACATTGTCTCGTGTAGCGCCCCAATCATATATATACGTTTCCTTTGTCATTCATTCAACATTGGCATGACATGCCTGAGTCACCTAGACATGAGAGAATGGGTGTGTGCACTCAGTGTGTGCCATATGAAAAAAATTGGGGATACCTGGGTACCAAATGCTCTTTTTTCCTAAAAAAAAAAAATTCTCTCGAAAAATTCGGGATACTGCGCGAGTGAACATATATATACATTTGGACCGTTTAAGGGTTAAGGGAAATCGGCCTGACGACACTGGAGGACAGGAGGGTCAGGGGAGACATGATAACGACATATAAAATACTGCACAAAATGGACAAGGTGGACAAAGACAGGATGTTCCAGAGAGGGGACACAAAGACAATTGGAAGTTGAAGAGTCAGATGAGTCAAAGGGATGTTAGGAAGTATTTCTCCAGTCATAGAGTTGTCAGGCAGTGGAATAGCCTAGAAAGTGACGTAGTAGAGGCGGGAACCATACATAGCTTTAAGATGAGGTATGATAAAGCTCATGGAGCAGGGAGAGAGAGGGCCCAGTTGCAACCAGTGAAGAGGCAGGGCCAGGAGCTAAGACTCGACCCCTGCAACCACAAACAGGTGAGTACAACTGAGGACACACACACCCACACACCTGTGACCAGCGGGGTCCCACAGGGGTCAGTCCTAGGACCAGTGCTGTTTCTGGTATTTGTGAACGACATGACAGAAGGAATAGACTCCGAGGTGTCCCTGTTTGCAGATGAGGTGAAGTTGATGAGAAGAATTCATTCGATCGAAGACCAGGCAGAACTACAAAGGGATCTGGACAGGCTGCAGACCTGGTCCAGCAATTGGCTCCTGGAGTTCAATCCCACCAAATGCAAAGTCATGAAGATTGGGGAAGGGCAAAGAAGACCGCAGACGGAGTACAGTCTAGGGGGCCAGAGACTACAAACCTCACTCAAGGAAAAAGATCTTGGGGTTGAGTATAACACCAGGCACATCTCCTGAAGCGCATATCAACCAAATAACGGTTGCAGCATATGGGCGCCTAGCAAACCTCAGAACAGCATTCTGACATCTTAATAAGGAATCGTTCAGGACCCTGTACACCGTGTACGTTAGGCCCATATTGGAGTATGCGGCACCAGTTTGGAACCCACACCTAGCCAAGCACGTAAAGAAACTAGAGAAAGTGCAAAGTTTTGCAACAAGACTAGTCCCAGAGCTAAGAGGTATGTCCTACGAGGAGAGGTTAAGGGAAATCAACCTGACGACACTGGAGGACAGGAGAGATAGGGGGGACATGATAATGACATACAAAATACTGAGAGGAATTGACAAGGTGGACAAAGACAGGATGTTCCAGAGATTGGACACAGTAACAAGGGACACAGCAGGAAGTTGAAGGACACAGATGAATCACAGGGATATTAGGAAGTATTTCTTCAGCCACAGAGTAGTCAGGAAGTGGAATAGTTTGGGAAGCGATGTAGTGGAGGCAGGATCCATACATAGCTTTAAGCAGAGGTATGATAAAGCTCACGGTACAGGGAGAGTGACCTAGTAGCGACCAGTGAAGAGGCGGGGCCAGGAGCTTGGACTCGACCCCTGCAACCTCAACTAGGTGAGTACAACTAGGTGAGTACACACACACACACACACACACACACACACACACACACACACACCCCACACACACTCACACTCACACTCACACACACACACACTCACACTCACACACTCTCACACTCACACACTCTCACACTCTCACACTCACACACTCACACACTCACACACTCACACACTCACTCACTCACTCTCTCACACTCACTCACTCACACTCACTCACTCACACTCACTCACACTCACTCACACTCACTCACACTCACTCACACTCACTCTCTCACTCTCTCTCGCTCTCTCTCTCTCTGGGACGGGGGGTATGTACATATGAAATCAAACCAGCAGTAAATTTAAGCAATTATGAATACGGTACAAAAACTATTCATTCTCAAACCAAGTAATAGGAAAAACAAATGAATGAACACAAAAGAGTAAGGAACACTCATCAGAGAAGTAGATGCTGATCATAGGATCATAGGTTTAAATCATTTGTGCTGGACCCAGATATGTCATGGTACAAGGTGGTGGTGGTGGTTTCAAATAGTTATTTGCTTACACGCCTAAGAATAATAAATACTGTTATTCATCACAGTGGCAGATGTCCTTGTCTATTAGGGAAGAAGGGAAGATGAAGAGACACGAGGGAGTGGTTGAGAAAGGGAAGGGATGATGGCTAGGTAAAGGAGGTAGGGGTAGATGGAGAGAAGCAGGAGGGGATAGGGAAGGAAAGGGTGAAATAAACAAAGGGAAAGAATAAGTGAGAAGAAATAAAATAATATAATCAAACCAAGTGCCAAATCCAAAAGGGGCACACAGTGTTGCAG